GCAACTCTGACAGGCATACTCCCAACGCAGACGTTTAGGTGTTGCGTGGGAGAAATCAGAAACCATTCGCTTTATTAGAAATCAGAACCATTTTTGAAACTGAGATTTCAAGCTAAAAGCTTACGTAGAGTTGCTTTAAACGAGCAACTACGGTCTAAATATATTCTACGTAACTGTTAAATGTTCACATAAACGTTAAGCGTTTTAATATTTCAATTCTTTTATTTATTTATTTCAGTTTTTCTTTCATATTAAAACATCAGAATGACTGGTCCTGACTCACATAGTGCCCTAGGAAACACCAGGCACGAGGCATCCAATACCAGAACATCATATTAATAATCTGAAATGACCTAATGGTAGATTGTATGTTCAGCACCTTGGACAGCTCTATGACTTTCTGCTCCATTTCACCATGTAAATTTAGCGAGAAGGAATAATTACATTAAGTAAAATTAATTACAATGAATGCTTTAGCATTTAATGCTTTTGTTTCATTTTAACTGACCTATTACGGATGATAGCTCAGACAGGATAACAAATAAATGTGTTATTTGCGCTGAAAAGCTGAAAAATATCAGTGCAATTGCCAATGAAGGTGTGAGAGGGGCAACATTAATGTTCCCTAGATTAAAACAATATATACAGTATAACAAAATAAAATTGTGTGAATGAATTTAAGATTTTAAAATCAAATAGCCAATGGATTAACCCACAGGCCTTATTTATTTTAAGTACAACATGTACAATATTCTTTGATGGCAATTTTCCATTTGACGTCTTCCATTGAGACATTCTGACTTACATAACATTTTAAATTCACTTCTATTTTTTCTCCCATAGAAGCTGATGATAAGTAGGCTACTTATAATGTTCTTCATGTTTGTTCTTCAGCATTTCGGCGCCGTTCAGCGAGCATGTGTGAACGTGGCCTGATTAACCGAGAATCTAACGAAATGTGAAATCGAGTGTAAACCAAAATTAATTGGTTGATTTAACAGAAAATAGTGGGTTCACCAGAAAAGTGTATTTTTACAAGTACTCCACATTTACTGGCTTTCACCTCGAATGATTTATTTCTCTAACGGGGAAGTCGTGGCCTAATGGTTAGAGAGTCGGACTCGTGACCCAAACTTAATCAACGACTGGTTCCCTTACATATTTTTATTTTACTTGCCAAACGCATTTGCCGAACTGGTGATTCTAATGAACCCTCTTTTCCTGGGGTGTATGTGTTACCTCTTCTAGAAGGTAAAAACACTTAATAAACAGATTATACGAAATCAAATTTTTTTGGCCAAATACAATTGTCATGGTCCGGTAGACGGCGCTGTTGGCACATCCTGCTGAACAAACTCTTTCACAGTTGGCGTTGGCTGATGGTCCCAATTAAGCCTCAAAGTTTTGATTATGTCATTAATCATCTAAAACATTCTAGCTACTCATAAGATGTGTGATGTTTAGTTAATTTGTTTTTATAAGAATTTGTTAAAGCAATGTGTTGTCAGCACTTCACACGTTTCTCTTTCTGAAACTCAGAAAACAGTTCTGAAAATCACAGTGGCAAGTAAAGAAATTAGATGCAAATGCTGCGCCACCAGATAATACTAAATAACAGAACAAACTGCCCTTTACATTTCTAAAATGCAACTTAGGATGCTTTCTTTTGTAATTTGTCTGCTTTGTCCGCTTTTACAAGCTTTTTGAGGGCCCCCTAAATATGATGATCCCCTTCCTAAAATATAAAAGCAGGTATATATTTTTATGAATAAAGACTTATTTATACTGTGTGAGATAAAATATTAAGTGTAATGTTATACAAACCACATTTTTTTGCAAAGTTAAATAATTGCTTTTATGTTGTCAGTGCACTACAGTCGAAATATGATTTAATTTATAACTTTAACAAACTATTCACACATTTGGCTTTTATTGGCTTTTTATTGTCAAAATTAATTTTCAATAATTTCAAATAATTTTTATATGATGTCTAGAGTGGAGGTGCGTCTTGACTGAGTGTGATGGTGGGTCTGTCCTCTGATCATCTTGATGTTAGACATTTTCTTTAAACCTTGTACTAACCAGACTTCAGTAGATTCTGTGAGTGCAGCATCAAGCCACTATTCTTCAAATGGATACCATTGTTAGGAAACACTGGCTTAAGTTGTTTTAACATCACTTGTGTGGCAAACTTATGGAAGCCTATTTCCAGAATGGAATAAATAAAAACTTTTTATCTCATAATTCTAACTTTTCTTCCTTGCAATTCTGAGTTTACATCTCACAATTCTGACTTTTTTTTTTTTTT